GTCGATGCTGCTGTACTACCTCTACATTGTGGGCTACACGGGCGTGATACTGTTCCAGTTCAACCGGTGCTTCACCACCAACGTACACGGCCACGTCTTCATCATTCTTGGCTCCGCCATCGTTGGCTTGATCGTAGGCTGTGTCTTGCATGCCGCTCCCAAGACGTCCGGGTGGCTATACTCTGATGTCGTGGCGCAGAATATCGCCGCGTTGCTGGCGGCCTTTGGAACCCTCCTCTGGACTTGGAAAGACTGGTTCGCCCCTTCGCAGGCCACACCCGCGCTCCAATTCTCCAAGAACAAGGACGCGTTTTACGCCCAGCGCAAGCTTGAAGCGGACCCGGGCATCGAAACCGGCATATCGATTCGGCGCTTTGTCAAGACGCCCCGGCCGTCTTTTAAGCACGGCGACGGTTCGTTTCTCAGCGAGAAGATTGACGACATTCTCGTCCGGAGCTTGATGACGCCCAACGCCACGTCCAAGGCCTGTTCGTGGGCGAGCGAGTTTATCCAGACAGCCTTCCAGGCCTGGGAGGACGGCCTGGTCGAAATCACCGTGGTGGACCGGGAGAGCTTCATCGACGCGGGACTGCAGCATCTCTTTTCGTTTAGCCAAAGGGATGGCGACGTGCTCAAAATCACCGCCGGCTTCTTTGGCGACTACGAGCTGCGACTGCCCGCATGGCAAACGCAGCTGGCGCAAATGATTGCCGAGTCTCTCATGTACCACACGGCCCGCGTCGAGGGCGAGCTGACGCACTCTCAGGCCGTCCACGCGGAGCACTTTCTCCATGGAACCACGCCCATGTCGAAGCGCATCCAATTCGAGCTGGCACTGGCGGATGTAAAGACTCTCCGGCAGACCATGGACAAGACAAACTCGGAGCTCTTGCGCCGCCTTTCCCTCGACCTCAATGTCGACCTTGGTTGGAACACTCTGCCCCCTAGCGTGAGGGAGGCCATCGTCTGTCGCATTACCGGGCGGCAAGTCAAATCGTCCTATGAGTACGAGGACTGGCAGTTCAACCAGGACGTCGACGTGGAAACCATTGACTTCCATCTGCAGCTCGGCCTGGAAATCTTTCGCGCCTGCAAGCAGCGGTCCAACATGGCGACGGATCTGAGCCCGCCGATGGACTTTAAGGACTCTTTACCGCCGGCGGAGCTGAGACCGGTCAAAATCCCTAGCGGCATGTCGAACGGCTTCGTGCGCGGCTTCTTTCGACGCGTTACCGCCCTTCCCGTCACATTTGCCCGATGGGTGGCGCTGATAAGCGGCGGCGGATCAAACATTGAACGTGAGCTGTATTACAGTCTTGGGTGGCTCTACTTTAGGCGGCCGATAATTTGGATCATTCTCCGGCTTTGGAAGTTTTGCTGGGCCGCGAGGAACTTTTGGATTTATTATTTCCTGGTCTATCATCGGCCCTCGGCCGCCAGAATCGTCCGCCTCACTCAGAAAGGCGCACTGCGCATCATCAAGAAGAACTCGATTGTGGTGGAACTGTCTCGAAAAACCGTCACCGGGTTTGCGCGAGACGGCCAAGATGGCAACTTGGTCTTGGAAGTCTTTGAAGGACGCCTACGTGAGGCCCCCGAAGACAAGCCCCCCTTGTTCACGGCCACGTACGACGACAAGCTGCGCCTGGCGAGCAGAACCGACCGAGACGGGACTACTTCTACATACAACTACGACTCGGCCAAGAGGCGCTCGTGGCCCATCTCCCGAGCCGTCTTCAGTTCCAACAGCCGGGCGTTGGGTTTCTACGACAAGCAGGGCCGTTTGGAGAGCGGCACCATGATGCTCAACTCGGAGTCGCTGGTGTTTTCGTACCACTACAAGACGACGCCGGAGAACAGCAGCGACATTCTTCGCGCCGACTTTCAGCCCCTAGATCGGTCGTCCAACAACAAGCTGTCTGTGTTTTGGGGCAAGCCTTCGAGCCAGGGGGACGAGGACTACAACTGGGCGCCGTCGGAGAAGATTCACCGAATCGTGCGAGTGATTGGCGACAAGACGTACATGACGGAGATTGAGTACCACCACCGGCGGGACCCCAAGACACTGACGTATCTGGTCGAGGACGGCGTGTACAAGACGATTGTGGCCGTGGTGCCCAAGGCGTTTCCCGACGAGGACGTGCTCCTCTGCCGGCCGCGCAATCTCCTGTTTGACGTGGACGACCTGCTCATCCACCACGGCGTGGGCCAGATCAACATCATGAGGCAGTTTGCGAGCACGAAGCTGTCCATGATGGCGCGCATAGGCTCGCTGGCGTGGTGGACGAGGCGCGTGCATCTGCCCGTGGCAACTTGGCGATCGCGCACCGAGCTCTGGAGCGTCTGGCTCAAGGGGGACCTGGATGCGGTGACGGCGTGCTGGATGGACGAGATGATCCTGCGCGAGGAGCCCATCCTGCGGACGTACTGGCGCGCGCGGGACGGCGGCAACCTCGACGGCGCGCGGGCGGCCCTCGACGACATTGACCAGATCGTGGCCGCCATCGAGCTCGAGACGGACGTGTCCGAGGTCTGCCTGCTTCCCATCCGCTCCGCCGACCTGTACACCATGGGACTCGGCAAGGACGCCAACCAGGTCACCAACCGGCCGCAGGACTGCTACAGCGACACCAAGGACCGCGTGTCCGTCATCGTCAACGACATTGGCTGCTGGCCCGAGGCGCCCGGCGGCGTGTCCAACTGCCGGCGCGACCTGGTCAACGGCCATGGCACCATCCGGAACCACGTCATGGCCGAGTGTGCCAACGAGTACGGCATCCCGCGCTTCCAGATCGAGAAGAATGTCCAGTCGCTCAAGCTGCTGCCGCTCTGGGGGCTCGACGGCAAGACGGCCAACCACGGGCTCATCGACAACATCCTGCAGTCCGAGGTGGACGACAACATCCGCGACACCGACGTCCAGCGAGACATCACGCGCGTCTTTGTGCCGCTGCTCAAGGCCTTTGTCAAGGGCGCGCGCACCCGCGACTACACGCGCGCGACGCTGGCCACCTGCACCAACGTGATGCTGTCCATGTCCAAGTACTTTGAGAGCAAGGACTACAACACGACGTGGTCGTCCAAGCAGGTCGAGGAGGCCTGGGTCGAGGCCTGGCTCGTGTCGTACGACGACCCCAACATCCAGGATCCCGCCGAGTGCTTCGACATTGCGCGCCCGACCCTGTTCGACTTTCGCGAGGCGCTGGGCATCTACATTGCCTACTTCTTCATCTTCTCCGTGCGCATCCCCGACGAGTGCCCGCGCGTCTTCCAGAGCACGCACCACGGCATCAGCAGCCTGCTGGGCATTATTCTGAAATACCGCCGCGGCGTCACCTTTGGCATCTGGGACCACGCCATCCTCTGGCGCGAGTCGTGCCTCAACATCAGCCCGGCGCAGTGCGAGCTGCCGCTCTCGGTGCAGTCGATGCTGCTCCACGGCATCCGCCTGGCCAGCCGCCTGTCCTACTTTCACGCCGATGTCATCACGCCGTGTACCTCGCTGTTCAACCCGTAAGTGTCCATGGGCCCTGTCTCGTAGACGTGCACTCGCGACTTGCAAAACTAACCGTCGAGCAGCATGTGGGAAACGGAAATCGGCAGCGACAGGGGCAACATTTGCAACCGCAACCTGTTCAGCCGCAAGATCGACCCCATTGTCAACGGCATCAGCAACATGGACTCGTTCGAGCCCATCGACAAGGTGCGCACGAGCAAGCCGACGGCCGTGATGCTCTCCAACGTCCAGTTCATCAAGGGCATCAAGACGGCCATCCTGGCGGCCGACATCATCGTCAACCGCTACGGCTTCAAGGACTACCGGCTCATGGTGTACGGCGCCAAGGACCGGCAGCCGTCGTACGCGCTCGAGATGGCCAAGCTCATCGTCAAGAACAACCTGTCGGAGAACGTCATCCTCGCCGGCTTCGGCAAGCCGAAAGAGGTCCTCAAGGACGCGTGGATCTTCATGAACTCGTCCATCTCCGAGGGCCTCCCGCTGGCCATTGGCGAGGCCGCGCTCGCGGGCGTGCCCATTGTCGCGACCGAGGTCGGCGCCACGGCCCTCGTCATGACGGACCCCAACGACGCCGAGCAGCGGTACGGCGAGGTCGTCGCGCCCAACGACCCCGTCGCCCTCGCCCGCGCCCAGCTCAACATCCTCTGCATGGTCGGCCCCTGGACCAAGTTCGTCGACGGCGAGGACCAGCCGCAGAGCCTGCCCGAGGAGATCGCCCCCGACGACGTCGAGCGCCTCTACGAGCGCATGTACGCCAAGACCGAGGACCGGCGCAAGCTCGGCCTCCTGTCGCGCGAGGTCGTGCTGCAGAGCTTCCACGGCGAGCGGTACCTGCGGGAGCACGAGCAAATGTACTGGATCCAGTGGCACACGGCGAGGATGCGCGCCGACATGGCCAAGGGCAACAAGAGGAGGAAGTATACCGAGTTTTCGTCGCCGCTGCCCATGAGGTACGTGGACGAGGGCGTGGTCGGGGTGGAAAACTCGGCCGTGCTCGAGGACGCCGAGTTGCTGGAGAAGAGCGTCAAGAGGGAGGACCACGGCGTGACGACGGAGAAGATGGCCCCGACGCCGAGTGACCTCGAGAGCGGGAGGGTGTCGCAGTCGTCTACGCTGCAGGTTGTACATACGGGCGAGTTGTATTTTGCCGGACAGACGGCCGCGACTGGATTTACGAACTGGGCCCCGGGATAAAAGGGCTTGGAGGCATAGCGATTGCATACAGCATAACTGGCGTGATTGTACTACTACTACTACTATTACCAGACTACTTCTAGTATTTTTTTCCTTTACTGAAATCACTAATATTACTAATACTATATGTGTACTCTTACTCCATGTCTTCATCATGCTCGTGCTGTGGTTGCTGTCACTGGTGCTATTTCACACGCACATGTCCAGTCTAATTTTTCAAAAGGCCAGCAAACGCGGATATATATTCCTTGGCGTACTACTTGATGCTGCGAAATATTGCAAGCCAGCTTCATTCCATCGTCGATGCTTGTAATTCTTTCAGCGCACCCAACGCGTCTTGTTTGTGAGCTTCGATATCTAGGCCGTGTATGAAATCCCACCGCGGAGCGAGCACCTGCTTCAATCTCCCAGGGTCCAGGCCTGCGTAGCCATCCTGTCCGCAGAGAATTCGTCCAGTGCCCCTGCTCGAGTCGATGAGCATCTGGCATCTGGGCCTCCGTACGGCATCATATGCCTGCAAGGCAGCGTTGATACCTCGACAAGATGACTCGGCCAGCAGAGTGCTGAGAATGACGGCATCTTCAATGGCCAGGCCGAGTCCATAGCCCTGCCAAGGAGTCGTCGCGTGAGCTGCGTCGCCCATGATGCACGTCCTGCCGTTGCTATATGTCGGTGTTGACTTGTGCTCCCACTGCGAGAAGCGTTGCGGGTTGTCCTGGTCAAGTACGAGCTGAAAAGAAGTGATTAAATACATTGTCAGTGGTTTGTGCCAGGGAAGTAAGACAGAGCCATGTTCAAGGGCAGGTCCAAGCTGCCGTTCCGTTGGTAAGACAAGAGCCTTCAAAAACGTACCTCGATCATGCCCTTGGCAATGGGGCCATCGAGCCAATCTTTTAGCACCAAGTTCAAGTCATGCCTCGATAAAGGAGTAGCTCTATGCTTGGCCTGTTTTGCTTCCACGCCCGAAATTACACACTGAATCTTGTGTCCGTGATCCAGGACGTCGTGCATGATGAACGCCCCGTTGCCAATCCACCCATACTGACGATGAACGCGAAACAAGTCTTGTCCGAGCATGGCCCTGGCCTTTTCAACTGTGACTAGATTTCTGCAGTCCCAGAATCCTGCTGGCGACGCAGCGTACACGCCACCAGGGTCCCGAGTGACATGTTCGCGAACCCTGCTGAATATACCGTCCGCACCGACGACTGCATCGAATCTGGCCATGTATCCATCTTCAAAGGTCAGTTCGATCCCATCATCACTCGAATTCATGTCCATCAGTTTCTTGCCCGTGTGTAACATGCTGGAGGGTAAGCCGGACAGAAGCTCGCGGAGCAGGGACCCTCGATGAACAACCTTGCCCTGACTTGTGCGCGCGAAGTCCAGGACCAACGACGCTGCTGCCACGCCCGAGCCCTTTCTCTGTATTAGTACTTCGATACCATATGCAAATATCCTACTGTGAAGAACGGAAACGCAGCATGGGAGGAAAAGTACAGGGCTTACAATCATGGTCCGGGTAGAATTCATGGGGACAGCCCCAGCCTTGGCCAAGAGCTCATCAGCCGAGGGAATTACATGCTTCAGCGCAGACTGTGCGGTACTAGACAGGCCAATGGCAGCACCGCGCTCTGAAAAGCACGCGTCTGCTTCGAATATGTGCACGTCAAGATGGGCCCTTGGCAGGAGAGCGTTGGCCAGGACTGTCCCGGCAAGACCGCCGCCAATGATGGCAATGCGTGTGCGATGGACGCTGAGATTCGACATGCTTTTCTTTGGAATGCCGTGCAAAAGACGGGTATAATGTCGAGGAAGCAAGGCATGTTATACTCTACCTGAAGACGAAGACATTTCGACGTGTTAGTGCTTATTGGGATAGGGAGACTTGATGGCTGCAGGCGTAAACGAAGTCGGCATGGGCGAAACTCCACCGGGCCCGGTCCAGCCGCCCTCAGACCAACCTGGGAATATTGTGCCTCTTTGGGGAGAGCAATGCGGGGGGTTTTGGAGAAAAGAATCAGTTCTAGCTGCGGGCTACTGAGGGAGGATTCCGCACACGCTCAGTACATGTCGTGACATGGGACATGGTAGCCAAGTAGGGAAAACGCATCGAGATTGCCATCATAACTCATTTCTTTGTTTATAAAGATTAATGCCGCTACCAACATGATATCAGCCATCTACATCCCCTCACACGGGCCGTCCATTCGTCATCTCATAGGCCTCCTCGGTAGTGTCATGTGAAGGCCTTGGCTTGGAGTGTGCCTGGACGGCGCCACCATGCCCGGCCTTGTATGGCAATGTGGCCTCCTCCCGAATTCTTTCTGAAAGACTATCATCTCTAGCCGGAGAGCTTCGAGGCCTGGTACCAAACGCACTGGCAAGCGTGTCCCACGGCCGTTCGAACACGACCGACCTGGTGAAGAAGGACAAAGTGGGAAGACAAGCCGCCAGAATACCCGTGCTGCATTCCACCATCCCCCAGTATACCCACGTCGTAATGACGACTAGTTGTAGAGTCAGAAAACGGCTTAAAAGAAACATGCTTCGTCTCCAGGGCGACGTACAAACTTCATCCTCATTCGGGTCGAAACCAGCCTTGACTATGCGTATGGTGGTAATCATTCGCGCGAGAGAGGTTGCAACAGTTCTAGTACGCCGTGTCAACTTTCAAAGAGCCGTGGCGTTCCGTGCATGGGGTGCTCACACCGCGCCAAGGAGGAATATCCCAGCCGTCGCAGCTTTCTTCTTTGGCGAGAGTTCCAACCGATATATCTACATCATGAACGGTTCGTCTTGAGCTTCATCTAGTGGCTGGGGTGGCTATTCGGATTTCTGCAACACTCACCAACGGAATCGGAAAGACAATAATGAAGACGTCGGTGATGAAGTCGGATATACACAGCGCCAATGACCTGAGCATGCCCTTGGTGCAAAAGGTCATCAGGTCCAGTGCCGAGCCCCAAATGGCAAAGAAGTTGGTCTTGCAATAAAAGACTGTGGCGAAGAAAAACGCCACCGTCCACAGGCCGATGAGCACCATGAATCCGACGAGGACCATGTTGACGGCTCCCCTGCTACGAGCCGCAAAGATGCGCTTGTAGAACAACAGGAAGCTGAGTTTGGTGCAGCCCAATATTACCGGGAGCATCACCGAGATTGGGTATTCAATCTGCCGCAACACGTCAGGAATTGACGACGGCACTTTCCACGTGTCGTCGACGTACCTTGGACGTCAGAGTCAACTGGTCCGAGTGAACTGCCAGTGGATTCTTTGCATGTTCGGCGGGGATCTCGGTGCGATGAGCGATGGCATGGTGGGCGGTTCCGTAGACGATGAGAATGCCCGTAGCTACCGTCAGGACCTAAACACGGACAATGGCTTTGCGGTCAGCAGATGTCTCTGTTGGAGTCGCCTGGTCCTATCCCGACCCACGAGGCACGTCGCTGGAATCGCGGATAGAGATCCTACAGTAGCTGGTATGATCAAGAGGTCATCGGCTTTAATGCCCTGCCTGTACCACAGTCGCGTCCAGAATCTCGCCCCAACGACAATCAGGACCATGGAGGAGAGAACGACGCCCGCAGCGATGTTATGGCCCGGGGTTTGGTAGTAATATTGATGGGCGGGCATCGTGGCGATTTGTGTCCGCCTTTATTCTCTAGGCCTTGGGTCGGTTTGAGCGACAACTACAGACGAAATCGATTCCTCATAACGAAGCGCTCATAGATGTTAGCAGCAAGTGCCCGGCTTTTTTGGGGGGGGATCTGAACATTGTATGCCAGGGTTCTCCCAAGAAAAAATGATGGCATTTTCAAAGCACCTCGGCGGAGGCACACGACCAAGCTCCATGATCTGCCATGTCCGGTACCAAGCCGATATTGTCCAAAAGAGGGGGTCCGTCGTTTATTTAGCCACAGGGTTACATCAGTGTTACCCAGCTGACACGGCTGCAGAACCAGGCATCAGAACCATGGTTAATGTGGACAACCAAAGTAAGCACTAGGAAAGGGGACCCATGAGCACCGCAGCTCAACCGCCTTAAAAAAGGTCTGGTGGCACATTCAGCTTCTGGCCGAGGATTTCCGTCGCCCCCCGGCCGGGATGGGACGGCACGACGGGTAAGCAGCCATGACGGCTGGGGGCTGGGTGTATGCGAGTCGGCACCGAGGCCAGCAGCAGTGAGCGGAATACCAATGACGAGTATTAGTAGTCTTTGTGGCATCGGAAGCCACCTTGGGTATCCTAGTGATTTCCCAGCCACGTTGCTATGCTCAACTCTATTTCAAGGACAAACAAGACTCATGCCCACACGCGGCACCGTCATGCCATTAGTCAGTAACCCATTCCACCACATTCTAGGCTATGCGTTATCCGGAAAGCATTGTGAGGCATAACATGTTGGAGTAAGCAATTTATGCTTTTGTACACGGCACATCACGATAAATACGTAACCCTTCCGGCACAAGGAAGGCTCATTCGCAGGCCCGTACTCCAGACTGTGTAGAGAGTAGTGAGGAATGCCCCACAGGTTCACTATCAATATCTAATTGAAACATGCAATGTGTCTTTTTTTACCATTTTATCAGCCATGGGAAACCTTGATAAAGGGCATCGAACGTTTAGTTACCCCATGGCCCGTCGTGCAGTCCATTGTGAAGATGACGGTATACCCAAGGGCTCCACGAGTCCATATCACTGCATGTGGTGTCGGATATCTCTGCGTGGGGGAATATTAGGAGAGATCGGCCTAGATAGCCGGAGACGGAGCTTCTAAAGCCTTGTGAACAACCAATTTATTTTGTAGCCTGGGCTTTAGGATCCAAACAGGTAATTCTGACAGCCAATTATATGTATTGAGAGCGCCGCGTATTCACTGAAATAATACAGCCCAAATCTGAGGAGTAATGGCTGTAATAGCCAAGTCGACCGAATTGATATTTACATGACATACACTGTATAAACTCTGATTGTATGGGTGTTGTGGCTGGTGAATGAAATGGCCTATTATGGCTACGTGTCACGTTATAAGACTTATTATTAATCAATAGCTTTGGAACATTACTCTTCTTCTATATTGACTACTATTGCTACTTTCCACTTAGTAGTAAAAGCGCTTACGTGTTTTATTAATAAAGGCAGTTTAATTATGTAAATAGCCTTGTCAGGGTTCTTGTTTTAGGACGTCTATTTCCATCATTGTGAGTGATCACCTTATTCAGGCCGCACTCGACCTTACTCGTGCCCTTGTACCGTTACAACCACTGACGCGTTACCGTTAAATTGCCGTGGCATATGCATCACTGCACTCAGAACCACAATTCTTGGCAACACAACGTGTCAAGTTGTTGTCCTAGTTGCCATGTGAAATGGGGACACAGATTCAGGATATTAGGTGTGCTCCCAGCTGTAGTTGTCTGCCAGATCAAGAAAGACCTGTCTAGTGCAGGTGTAGTTGCCGCAAAAACAAGACACTGCCGTCTCTTTGTCCTACGACTTGATATTGAAAGGTCGACAGTACCTGCCACATAGAACTTGAAAACTGGCCTAGTCTATGCACACGTGGCCCGGGACAGGGATCTTTCCCAAGTAGATAGGACGTTGTGCGTGGAGAATTGAGCTACGAAGCTGGGGACTCGATTAGTCCTTGGTTGACGAACTGGTTAAATAGCTCCAGTCATTATATTACGAGCGACGATAAGATGAGCAAAATCGAAGACAAAAGCTCAACGGCCTCATCTTCCGGGCCGGTATGCAAATCACTATTTTTATGTGGATTTGATTTATCTGAACCCTAGCGCGAAACTATGTTATATTATCTCTCACATTTGCTGCATTTACCGCAAGGTATCTCGAAACGCATAACGTCTGGTGTTACAGACCAGGAAGGGACAGGGGGCAATTTATTCATGCAGGACCCCCTTTCTGAGTCGGCACCATGTCTAGGTAAAAGGTGTCGATGGGAACCAAGAGATATCCAAGCGCTTGTAACTATCTGTGTTGTGCAGAGTGGACTTGATGCAAGTTCGACATTATCACCACCCACGGCCCTGCATATTGTGTCCTGAACCTACTTGCCATGCATCCGAAATTGAGGTATGCGTCTCTGAAGCTCCTGGAGGCCTTTACTACAATTTTTTCTTTCGCCGCACAAAATGGAAACTTGTCTTCAAGCTCACCTATATCCCAACAAACATCGTTTCTTGATGGCATGCGAGGGATAGCCGCTTTAATCGTCGCCTTTTACCACACATCCGAGGCTTACTCCAGCGCAGTAACGAAAAGTTACGGCTATAATGGTGAAAACTATTCTTTTATTCAGCTTCCATTTATACGATTAATATATGCTGGCCATGCTATGGTTTGTGTATTTTTCGTTATTGGCGGCTACGTAAACGCCTTGCGACCGCTGCACATGATGCATTATGAGAAGCAATGGGATAAGCTCTTTACATCAATCAGCTCCAGCCTACTACGCCGAAGTATCCGGCTCTACATCCCGCCCGTCCTCGCAACGTTCTTCTCCGCCATCACGTTACGCCTAGGGTGGTGGGAAGCTTCACGGGCGGCGATTGATGCCGGAATGTTTGCAGGATGGCCAGACTTGCACCCGCCCCGACAGCCGACCATGTCTGCGCAGTTGGCGGATTGGTGGCATCATACAGCAGGCCTTTTTAACCTGTGGACATACATGACCTCGTCAGATGTCCAGCCATATTATAACATCTATGACCCGCATCTGTGGACAGTGCCATACGAGGTCAGAACATCACTCATCTTAATGCTGGTTCTTGTTATTGTGGCTCGGTGTCGTCCTCTCGCTCGCTGGCTATTATTGCTGGCGTTTATACAATTCAGTGCTTCTTGGGCTCGTTGGGAGGTTGTCATGTTTCTTTCAGGAGCTATGCTGGCGGACATCAAAATGTATAGAGATATACACAACGAGTCTCTCCCTACACAAACTGAAAAGGACGACAACTTGTTATCGGCTATTGGCGGCCCTCAAAAAGCCGCAGTAACTGCTATAGTCCTATTCACAGGGCTGTATCTGCTTTCGGCCCCGTCTACAAATATCGATGGGACTCCAGGATACATTACAATGACGTCCATCATACCAGAAAGCTATGGCGATAAAAGGCGAATTATTCATGGGGCCGGGGCGATAATGCTAGTATGGGTAGCCTCAAGTTCACCAGCATTGCAACAGCTATTCTTGACAGGAATAGCGCAGTATCTAGGACGTATTAGTTACGCACTATATATTGTGCATGGTCCCTTATTACATATTGTTGGATATGCAATTACTACAGCTATATGGAAGCATCTTGGTACTGATGGCGAGAGCATCATGCGGTGGATAGTAGCGGTCGGCCTGGGAAATGCAATCACTTTTGCCATCATCTTTTTAGTAGCAAAATTTTTCTACTTATGGGTAGATACTACGTCAGTAAGAATTAGCCGCGCGGCTGAGCGACTATGTTTCGGACAATCTTAGTATTGAGACTTGCCTACTACGAGGGCTCATTTCGTCGGATAAAACTGCCTTTATTAGATCAAGTAAACTTGGAGTCATCTTCACTCTTCAAGTTATAGTGGGATAGAGGAGACAAGAAACCTGGCGACTTTTTCTCTTCTGAACAGTAGTTCCTGGTATTTCTAATCACTGTTTACATGAAGCAGGGCGAGGCATGAGCACCAAGTGTCACACGGCTACACGAGGACCCCGGTCGGTCACGGGGTCTAGGGCAAAGTCCCTCACCGACTTCTTGCATTTGAAGAAGTCTTTAGTCAACGAGGCCTCGAGGGAAACCAAGGACCTTTGATATGTCAAAGTTGCGTATTGAATTGAATCTTGAACTGCTGTTCCAGGCCCAGTTATACTGCTCTTGTCACAGCTTTTGCCAATTATCCTAATTAAAAGGAATAAAAGAATCTCGGATATCCACATGAAGTATAAACCCACATGTTGTTTTTTACAGCAAAGTAGATGCGGGCAATACGTGATTGGAAAGAGCAGATGGTGTTTGTGGTTACGTGACGGTGAGGGTAATAAGCAGGTTAGGGTTATGTAGAATAGGAAGAGGTCAATAAGCAGTAAAAACGTTCGTGTTACGACCCAACCAAGAATATCCTCGGTCGTAGAATTGGCAAACAAGAATCCTTGGTTGCATTGACCACGGGTTTTGACCGGGTTTTTGTCGCTCTGCATACACCGACTCCGCAGGATCTTCTTTCTCCATGATGGTCCAAGTCGACTTCGGCCCTTCAGAGCACCGGACATCTTGTTCACTAGCAGGGTTCAGAACGGCTCGGCAACGTCTCGTTCCAGTCAAGTGCGGTGGATTCGATGGGCCTGCGTGGTATTGACCTAGTCCGCTGACATGCGTCGACGGTGTGTTTTGTTGGCTACGAGCCGTGCCCCCTGGCGCTTGAGGGTTCTCGCGACATCATATGGTTACATCCCAAGGCGCCAGGTTCATGCGGTGATGGCCACTTGCACGTTGTCTTACCTTGATCCAACGTAAGCATGCAGTTTAGCCTTTGGCCCCCATCTCCCATCCTTCACATTACAAAAAACGCATGTTTGGTGATTTTCGGTATTGCAGACGAGTAGGACAACGCACAGCCGAGGCAAATGAAACATGGAAACGGAGAATATTACGATATCGAATACTGGCAGTCACATAGCAACATTTGAAGGTCCCGACCGGCAGCAGAGTAGTCAAATTCGTTATATATACTTGTGTTCGTGTGAGTGTCTTTTGCCAACGCGCGAAACCCGCCCAGTCGCCCATCTGCGAGCTCTTCAATGTACAAAACTATGCAATGTCATTGCATCTTCTTCTCGGGGTGGACTTGATCGTGCGCCGTGTTCTCCGAAGCCTAGAACAAACGCGTTTTGACCTTGACCCCTTTGGGTTCCGGCGCATCCAGGAACTCGGTGCCTACAATGGCTTTGTTAGCGTCACAAGTTCCCAACGGTGGTGGACTATCGCAGTCTGGTACCGTAAATTGGCTGAGCAACCAAATGGCTGACGAGCAGAGCAAGAGCTGCGATGGCGATTGAATGATACCGCATAATGTATCCGAGCTATGGATTGATTGCGCGATGTATTTCCCAGGTTGACAGAAGCAATGCCGTTATCGTAGTTGGGCAGATGATTGCAGACTCCTCCGATTCCAAGCTCCGAGTAGCTGGCATGTCTTTATATTTTGGGCATGGCGACTCAAGGTCCAGCCTTGTTCCCAGCTTATGTTTTAGCAATGCCTAATCGGAGTGCTGATCTTCACCTCCTTTGTCCGGCAGCGCACGACGCTAGATAAGCAGCTTGCTGAATACCATGTCGTACGATCCCGGACGAAGCCTGTACTGCGGCTCTCATTGACTTGAGATGATTATGTGCGCTTGCAACAAAAGCCGATTACGCCAATCAGCCGAGATGCAATTTCACTTTGACAAGACATGTACCAAAGCGCATCATACATTCTCGCCTCACTATGCACCGTCCTGCGGCACCGTCGACACTCGAAGTTGCCGAAGACAATGAGGAATTGATTCACCTCACAAATTCCGACGGAGCCCTTGAGAAACAACAGTTTGTGCATCGGAACAGGCCTTTTAAAGCCGCATTGACCTTTTCGCGAATATACTCCATCGCTTTACATTTTCTCGCCATCGTATTGGCAGTGTCGCTGTGGAGTAGAAACAGACACTCAAGTGGCAATTTGCCCACCCAAGGACGCAGCTGGTGTAAGTATCTGTCGTCATTTAAATAGATGCAATTGCTTAAATGTGTCATTAGCCCCTGTGAATGGCCTCGTCCAGTATGAGCTTAGTAGCGAACATGCCGTCCATCACGACAAGCACAGCCAGTACTCTGGGCCTCCCACCCAAGACAATGACGCGGCCTGGGATGCCCTCATGCGACGTGAGTGGCCCAATTCTCTTTCATGTCACAAAACCCAAGCTAAACACGATTTGTAGCCGTCCACTTTAATGCGACTCGCGACGAACTTGAGAGAGCGGGCGAATCGATGGCAAACCTTGCGGAGCTGGAGGGAGGAGGATATCCCGCAAGTCTTGGTGTCTACCACGAACTTCACTGCGTGGTAGGAAGCGGATTGACAAATGCATTGAGTGGAAAGTGCTGACCCTGCGCAGAGGCAAATGCGATTCTATCTATACCGGGGGCATTACTACCCCAACATTACCGAAGCGCAGCATGAATATCTCCGCGGCCACCTCGGTATTCCATCCCCGCCACACTTTGTTTATGAGCCCGTTCGAGAATATTCTGTGCTAATGTCGTCTTCTCCGATAGATCACTGCTTGGAGACTCTGCGATTGGCTACCATGTGTCGTGGCAGCACCGACGTATATTCGTTTTATTGGGATGGTGCCAAAACCGGCAAACCGGCGACGCAATCCAACGCAAAGTCCATCTGTGTCAGGTGGAGTTCTATTGAGAAATGGGCATATTCCCGAATGCCGACCACCACGCGGCTGGTGGAGGAGAAGCAGTCGAACAGCCGGGTTGGGCAGTCGTGGGAAGAAACACGGCTCTTTTGATGTAGTTACAGGACACTGCGTTTGGCAAGCCTGCTGGCATGGACAGGGAGATGCCCCGATGGTGGATAACGAGGCCAATGTATAACAAGTAAGAGCAATAACAGTTTTCGAGCAAGACCAGTGTTGGATAGAGGCGAGCCAAGGGTGGCATAGAATGAGGTTTAGCTAGAGAAACCGAATGCAACTGCACCTGGCTTGAAGATTGACATAAAGTACGAAAAGAGTAAGCTTACGTAGATTATGCGAACGCGCATCGTTCACCGTGTCGAGTCGTCGACCAACTTACACTGATAGCCACCCAAGTGCGAATAACTCAACCACAATCTAGGCTGCTCCTTTGGCTTGTGCCGCAACAGTTCCGCGCAGCATAGCATATCAATGTCTCGCAGTAAATTAGCGGCTCTACCGTGTAACCAGAGATGCAAGGCTGCGGGGGCTGCAGCGTCCGGCGGGTCATTTGGAGGCTCAAAGTCCGGTCTGCTCCATGCATGTGCCTTTCCCCCCATCCAATTCAATCGCATTTCAATGTTGCTAGTCTCCTCGGATGCGTCAAAGATAGAGTTCAGAGGCGACATGGCGGACGCCGGTGCGGCTCAGCAGACATCACCGCCTGGTGACGCAAATATCCCCGTGCGCTCAAAGCCGGGCGAGGCGGCTGACCACGTACGCAAGAAGCGATGGGCACCCAAGACCAGGACCGGCTGTCTGACTTGTCGGTAAGTCTCTGGCACTGCGGGAAGAAGGAAACCTCCATGTCTGTGCCGAATCACTACCGAGGGCTGACCAGAGTCATCTTGATGAATAACCATGCAGCCTCCGCCGGGTCAAGTGCGACGAGGAAAAGCCTTACTGCAGGCGATGCCGCAGGCTGGGCTACGTTTGCCACGGATACAAAGAATCAGTACATCAACCCGAGACTAATCGGCAACATGTCGCCAAGCAAATCACCACTCTTGAGTTGTACCAGCCGCCGGTCGTTGTATCGCCCGTACAAGTCACGGCGACGCCGCAGGAGCTGGATATCTTTCACTACTACCGCACCGAAGTGGCGGCACATCGAGCCGACGAGTTCAACCGCACGCTGTGGAATGTGTACATTCTACGGGCGGCGAATGACCAGCCTGCCGTTTGGCACGCCTGCAATGCCCTCGCCGCGGTCCATCAGATGGACGCCATTAAACTCTCGGCGTGGAATGCTACCCAGTCCGCTCTCACCGTCGAGAGGAGGCAGCACCTGTATACTTTTGCCTTGCAACAGCATGCCATGTCGCTCAAGCACGTCATGGCCATGGCGCAACAAGGCGACGCGCTCAGCTTCAACGACAAGGGCTCCATCCTGGCTGCCAACCTGTTATTTTTCGCCGGCTGCCTCCATCAGGGGAGGTTATTGGAAAGTCTGGTCCATCTGAGAAACGGCATCAATCTGATGCACCAATGGAAGTTTTGGGAGGCGCGGGCTCCCGACGACGTTGGCTCGCCATCGCAAATACGCAACGGCATATTCCCCAGCGCATCGCTGCTCTTGTTTTACGTTCAGATAGATGGGCTTGCCCAGGACTCGTCGCCGCCAGACGCGCAGGGCCCGGAGCGCACCTCTACTTGGCAGTGGGAGCCGGCGCTGTCGTCTCTGTGCAAGAGGCCCTTCTTCTCCCCGGCCGACGCTTGCCTCGAGTTTGAGATGATATGGATCGGGCTGAGGGATCTGTTCAAGGCACTGCCTTTGCGGCCCGACGCGTCGCAGCAAAGCTCTATTATGAAAAGACGCGTCATGCTCAATGTCCATTTGCAAAACTGGAAGACCAAGATGGATGCGCTGCAGTACTCGTCGCCAGACGTGAGGCCAAGTGACAGAAAGCTACTGACAATCCTCAACATGCGGCATATCCTCGCCAACATTCTGGCCAATGTGGACATTGGCAAGTTTGAAGTGTGCTGGGATGCGTTTGAGGCGCAGTTCGAGGAGATTATCGTCCTCGTCGAGTCGCTGCTCTTTGGGCAAAGGGGCCAAAATCCGCACGGCAACGCCGAGCATCGCCTTTCGTTCACGCCGACTGTGACAAAATCGCTGCATTACATGGCTACAATCTGTCGCCATCCTAGACTTCGCCGAAGAGCAATCTCTCTGTTGAAGGAGCTACGGCGTGCAGAGAGAGTGGGCGGTAAGAATGCCGATGTGTCCTTTTTTACACAGAGCATTCAAGCCATCATGCACATGGAGGAGGAGGCATGGTTCGACGCCGAGAAGCGCAGCCACCCTGGGTGCCACTGCGTTGCGGGCGAATTTATCTGCAATGCGCATCGTGTTTCCGAGTTTCAGATCAAGTATGCCGATAGCCAAGAGGGGGAGCTCATATTCCGCACGGTGGACGATGTTGTGAATAATTGCCCCGCGCGGAGCTTGACCATGAATATCTTGATTGCAATGTAGACTGAAATGAGAGATATTTGGGCCACACGATATATCGTAGAGGTGAATACTTGAGCAGACTTTCGGCACAAGAAAACATTCAACATGGACACAAGTAGTTGAGAACATGTCACGTTTTATCCCCCATACAGCAGACGCGGCAGACTAGGTCTACTCGGAGGCTGGAGCTGTACGGTGTCAATATTCACTGGTGTCAATATTTACTGGATCTTGCTGTTACTGTTGCCATGACACGCGAACAGACAAATGCGATAATTATGAAGGCAAGTGCTATGCCGTCTACGCTCTTCTTTTGTATACGACTAATTCTTGAAAGGATGCTTATAATAGGATACAAGTAAATAAAACAGGTAGCATTCGATGGAACTATTGTATCTTGTTGCATCGAGATTGGGTTCCATTATATTTTGTAAAAGGCCAAGAAGGGATTGTGTTTGGTGAGTCATATATGTCATATTAGAAAATAATTTGCCAAAGGATGTCTTGTTCTATCAAGTAGAATAATTGGATCATCCAGTTCTTCTACTTGATAGGGGATAACTAAAGTAGCACCCAGTTTGCCCTTGCTGTTAGCTTTATGCACTGCCTCAAGTTGTCAAGTATAAGTTTCCAACACAAAGCTTGGATCCGTTCTACCGCACCCTTGTTCCCTCCATCCGTAGCTTCTAGGGTTCACAATATCGGACAAGTCAACCAACACACCCCCTTTCCAATTATCTGCTTTGGGCCACCTATGGCAGAAACCAGCATGCGACAAGAACTCCAACACTGACTTGACCACGTCAACATCATTGTCAGCTTCCTGTATAAACTCATAGACAACCGCTGTGTAGAGTTTTTCGTCGTCAATAGACCGAACAACCTTGTCCACTTCGACGTATGGCGGTATCAACCTTCGAGGCAAATGGCGAAGCAATTCCTCTCCCGTAAATTGCATCCAGCCATAGCACTTTCGCATACGAGGCATACTGGTGATGGACAGCAAATCGTGAGACTGTACGCCAATGCGCCGCCGACGAGCCTCGTTGGAAAAGGCAAGCATGTTCTTGTACGCCTCGTCCCACGTCTTGGGCTCTGGGTTGACCAGAATCGGCCCGTTGGCATTGTCAGGCCGGGCTGCGTCCGCCACTGCCGCCTCCATGGCCTGGAGAAGAGCAGCATTTTGACATTCTCTCTGAGGGGCAAAATAATGCGGATACCAGGGCTCCGTATCCCAAAGCTACATGGAGCAGAGTCCAGATGTCAGTAGTGAGCACAGCCGGTCTGTGTCCATATCAGGGCATGCCAGCACTTACTAGCTTCAAGACATGGGTCGGACCAGCATTTCGAACGCGAATTTTCCAATTATACCCGTCGAGTCCGCCGTCGAGACCTTGGCCAGTGCAGACATTGCGGCCACGATATGGATAGATGCCGCCGACAAAGGATATCGAGTCTAAATCGAACGGGAACTTTCGCAGCCGAGGTCTTTTGAGGTCGCTCTTGGCGCAACTAGGGGGACACTCATGATCCATAATATTGTCGTCGAGAAAGGGTTGACTCGTCATCTTGAGTGCCTTTTCAGCACGCTGCTCCCATTCCGAATCCATAGTTGGTAAAGCAGATCAAAGAAAAGCAAAGAAACGAAGACTTGAAATGCGTGCAGGTTACCGGCCACGCGGGTCGTGTTGCCCGGTATCGTGCGTGGTGGTCTCTCGAGACTAGACGAGGAAAGGCATTCACATTTATGATATTGGACTCTCCGGCGAAACCAGACCAGATTTGGTGGGATTGCCTTTGCTGCCTGATGCACTAGACCCACTTTTCATGTCTCAACTCCCGTTGGGAGTACCGCTCCTGGCTTCAACTCGTTGCAGGTCAACTGGTTGCACAAACGCATCACTCAAAGCACAAGCCACGCTCTCTCTCGGACCCGGGTAACTGTGACAAGGGTTCACTTTGTCAAGGCTTGGAACGGTCATTTCATTCCTGGTTTCTCTCAAGGCCTTTCAATGTTGGTTACACAGTCTCTGTTTACGGAAGTGACGTCGCCATCAAGGCACGGGCCGTATCTGGAACCTGACGATCGTTACACAAGGGCCCGAGACCAGGCTCAAGGCCTGAGGCTTCAGCCTCGCCTGTTCACCGCTATTTGACATGAATAGGGGCCATCCGCTCTCGAGGCCTTGACGAAAGCCAAGGACCATTAGCATCAAAGCAAATAAGCTGAATAGATTTGTTCCCAGCCCCTGTCACAGTCTGCGATAAAAAAGAAATATTCGCTTATATAAAAAAATATGCACGCTAATAAAAAAAAATACACGCCGATAAAAAAGCATACACTTACATACTATAATACAAAGCGTGATAGCTGGTAAAATACAAGACTCCCCCCCCCATTCTGCAAAGCACCGGTGAGCCCTCGGGCCTGGAAGACCAAGGCCCTAACTAGGTCTCGATCCCTTGCGTAACCGTCGTCAGGTTCAAGAGTCGGGCCGTGCCCATATTGTTTTTGAGGGGAACTAGCAGAGATTCATTCTTACATGTCTGGAAGACTCTGGGCCACGTATTTATACCGCCGTCCAGATTTTACATAGCGCTTAAGAGTCGTATCGTACTCGAATTGCCCCTCCTTGTAGGGCACGGATTTTCCCCGGCAGTCCTTGTAGTACCAGACCCCTTTCCTTTTTGTAAACTCAACATTGTGCACCACCTTGAGCCTCGTAATATCCGGAGCCAGATGGTCCGTGTCGCCAATAATGGACGCCGTTGCGCTAATCTGTGGTTGGTCTTCCTCCTCGTCGTCCTCGTCGTCTTCCTTGTCGTTTTTCTTGTCGTCTTCCTCGTCTTCTTCTTCAAACTCTTCACCCTCGGGCTCCTTACTCTTGGGCTGCTCACCCACAGGCTCGTCCATGTCATAACCCGGTGTCTCCTTCATGCGGAATTCACCGGACGTATTGTGCCTGATCCCGTTGGGTCCACCACGCCACGTGTTCATCTTCGGATAGCCGCGAGCGATATAGTTATCCCCGTGCAGAGACATCATTGCCAGAGCGAAAAGAGCGAGTTTGGCAGTGAGCTTGCCGCGTCCGTGTGTACTCCAGGGAATGGCCTTGAACTCGGTAAGAAGGTCCTGGCCCCGACCATAGTCTTCGGAAGACTGGCTGGACGTGATTTCTGCCTCGCTTGACGACTGGGGTGTAGGGTCTCTGGTTGGCCTTTTGTTTCTGGTTGACCGCTGGGCGAGATTCGCGCCCACGCCAGGCGCAGAGCCTTCACGCACAAACCTGAGAACAATCACCGATACATCAGTGACAATGAAGCCGTACCGGACGCGATGCCCGTCAGCGTATGCAGCCAACTGGGTAACGACCTTCTTCCATTCCTCAAAGTTGGATTTAAGCATGTCCGGGTTGAATTTGGCACTAGTTTTGGTGTCCCCGGGAACGAGGTTGATGTACCCCGAACCCTTTTTCGCCAGATTCGAGGTACAGGACCAGTCAGGTTTCATTCTGTTGGCCTTGACTCTAGTTCCGTAGCCATAGTATGGAGCGTTTTCTTGTACCTCCGTCGAGGAGCCCAACGCGCTGTTGATAACTGGGAACGGGAATCGGCGCAGCCCACCATCAACGGACTCTTCATTATAGACCTCCACGTCTCTTTCCATGGCCACTGGCTCCCGCTGACCGAGATAGTCCTTCTTCAAATGGTTTCCAAAAATAGACATGATATTATCAAAGGTAAAGTCTGACCAATTGTCCCATGTGCAGATTTCAAGAGCCGTGAGCACCCTCGTATTAGGTCCGGGCGGAGCTTCGGCAGCATCGAGGGTGGTGGTAGGCCACTGAAGAGCCTCAAGAACAGTCGGGTATGGGGACATTGTAGACTTGGGAGCTTTGAAGTTAGAAATGGATACTAAGAGCCAAGTCTAGGATCGGTAGAGAAGGTGCTATAGTTCTGCACGCCGAATAACGAGGACAGATAGTTCGCGAGAAGCAATTATTGCGTCAAGATCTGACAGTCGATAGAATTGTTTGCTTGATGATGTTCATTTCGTCGAGAAATACACGACATTCACTCATATTTATCTCTTTTCCCTAGATGATATATTACCGTATATTGGTTTATATTTTTCGATGGGCAAAAATATCCTGCGACACCGTACACAAAGCCTCATTGACATGACAATGAATTTCAGACGTGGAAAGCATCAAGCAAGTCATGGCCGGGGCCACGAGGACGATGCTATGTTTACTATTACAATGAAGCTGTAACACCACATCCCTCGGCCTTTGTCAGATCCGTCGTGGGCATTGTGATGCATAAAACTACTGTTCAAGTTGTGTGGTGAAGCCCCATGGTCTTACTTGTCTCTGGGCTGACGGTGAGTTCACGTCTGGTCAAAGAATCTGGTATCATGAATCCCAGGTGTTGGTCCATGCGTGCTGGTGTGTATCTGTCAAAGGTTGAGTCATGAATCAGGCTTTGTATCTAGGAGGCCCAACAAGCCATGTGCATGCCCTTTATCCAAAAGGTAAATCTCGGTCATGAGGTCCAAACTAATAACAGATCTATTCTCGATGTTTCATCTTCAGGTGTAAAAGTGCCACAATTCCCGACCTGGGTAGATTCAGTCAAGGACAAAGTTGGCAGCTGCTTATTTGCAGGCGTTTGTTTCTAGGTGTTGCTGTGTAACTGTTGGTCGGCAGTCGTTGGTCATGGGGGTAATTTTGGCCGCCTTGTAGTCGGCCCTTCTATCAAAGACCATTGATTCGCAGTTGGCTTGGCGAGCTGGCTTGGTATGCCACCACTTCGAGGGTCCGTGAACTCTGGCTGCCGTTGCCTAAACAAAGCCGATCTGTGGCTAACTGTCGTCGACCCCCTTCTGTTCCCTTCTTCGTTCTCGCCTGCACGTTTCTCCTGTAATATGGCTCTACCTACTATCCCCAGAACTCTGCCCCGTATCGAATGCTAATGCCAATACAGAAACGTCCCCCGAACGAATCTTTTGCCAAAGGGGCAAGCCCAAACTAGCTACTACAACTGGCCTCCAACTTCATCCGTTGTACTGCCTATGCCTCGAAGCTCCTGTCCGCAAGACGACGTCTATTTCGCCCTCGGAACATCTCCAGCAAACTTGCTGCCACTTTGAAACATGGTTCGAGAGCTCCAACCGAATCTGGCAGCTATTGCCTACGATATTCACAGCCTAGAGTAATATGGTGAAAGCAGCCGGAGTACGGGTATTTCTCGAAAGTGCCCATCGGCTAGACACACGGATCAAAGATCTACGCGATTATAGAAGTTGGTCGCTGTCCAGGCACAACCCCCTTTCCCGGGCCCTGTTAAAGGTCGACGAAAGAATTTCCAGCAATCAAATCACCATCTTCCTCTGTGCAATCGGCGTAAATATGTCGGGGCAACCGTAGCCCATTACTCGTCTCGAGAGCTGACGCCGCTGTATGTCATCTCCCAATCATATCCCATTGACTTCTTACCCTATTTACGCCACCCCCATCTTGCCAATACCCGCTCAGTCTTAGGCCCAACGGCCTTTTAAAGGTTGACAAAGCTAAATATGTCGACCAAATACGAGACGCAGGGCCGTCCAAAGCCACCAGTTATCGGGAAAGACGAACTTGACTATTCTACGATAGTAGGAAATAATTCTATTATTTCCTGCATGCAACCGTGTGGCACGTGACTAGCCGTTGTGGCCACGTCGCAAGTTGGCTGTCGTAGCTGGCTATAAGTATTACGGGTTGCAGCTTGTGTGTTTAAATGTATTAGTATACTAATAACCCTATTATGTATAAATAACTATCTTGTATTACTTCTATTAATCATGCATTTACATAGTATATACTGGCTTTATTCCGTATTTTATATAGGGCGGGCGGGCGGAAGGCATCTGGTCGCATGCCTCGGGAGATTAGGTCACGCATAAAGAAGAAATCAAGGGTCGGGCTGTTCTACACATGTAGAGTCAAGTGATCGGATGACGGAAGATTAAATTATTAGCTTGCATATAAACCAATTAATATAATAAAATGGAGGGACTGAAATGCCGGGCAAGGATACCTGGATGGACCAGGGTCTAACCCCGAGCGCCACCAGACAGCATTCAAAGAAGACTTGAACCCTTACACAATCAGAAATTAAAGGGCAGTCGCAGCTAACGACTCAAGGCAGGTATGGAGGATCAGAAAATGCTGTAACACAGCGCAACAAGATCGGCAGTCGTACAAGCTCCTAGAAGCAGCCCGTTGCAAGCGTCGATGGCGGAGGATGGAATTGTCATGGCGACAAGCCCACAGATGGACTCGGATCAAGAGCCGACCCGATAAAATCTGCGCATTTGACAGTTTTGAGCGGCTTGGGATGCTGCCGTGTAGGGCCGCTCGGGCCTGTTGAAGAAATGTCAAGTGTCAACGTGCATAAAGCCGACATGGCAAGTACCGGACCGCATGATGAGAGGCATTTTCTCAAGATGATTGACACATTTTGAAACACCAAGGGGCGTAGGTTGTGGAGTCCCTAATTAAATCAAGCCCGTCGTCATGCATCCAGGTCAAGACGTAACACGTGTTTGCTCCCGTCGTTTGCATGGACCAACAGATGTGACGCAGTGCGTTTTAAAGCCTTTGCGTTGCTCTTTCGATGAACCGTGTGCTTGGCCGCTCCTCATGTTTTGCTTTTCGAGACCAAAGCCCAGGCTACCATCACAAAATAGATGGGCGCCCGCTACTTGTTGACGACATGTATGCGGTCGCGCGAGTTGCAACGCGCACGTTCAAGCCCAGCATTTTCGTCGCATTTCTCCTAGCGGCTGTTTTCATCTACACGGCGACTTTTCATTCGTCGACGTCTTGGTCTTGGCCGGGGGACTGTGTCTTCGCGCCACGACGACACAAGCAGCCATTAGGTTGGATGCCACCGGACATCAAGCCGCTTGACCGCAAACAGTGCCGGCCAAACGAGACTCACTTTGCAGAGCTCAAAGAAAGGTACCAACTTCAAGATGACTTCAAGTACGCCAAGCGTCTGGTGCAATTCTCGCGAAACCCTCAGCTGCGGCGCGAGAGCCTCACCAAGCTCCCACAGCCCATGTTTCCGTCAGGACGCAACTTGCCGTTGAAGTGGTCCCGGCTCGACCCCGAAATCGACTTGTGCTCCGATCCCATCGAAGTGAGCGTTTCCGCATCCAACTTTCCCCAAAATGTCGATGCCTCGGCCTTCATCTTTGGGGTTTCAACCACCTATCAACGCTTTGAGGAGAATCGTACGCCGTACATCAACGACTGGGCCTACTGGTTGACTGATGGCGCCGGCCGATCCAACGGCGGCACGCTGCTTCTGACGCTATCAGACGCCACCGATGAGCAGCTTCGAGTGGCCCGAAGATTGCTTCGCCAGGTGGGCATAGATGCCGATGTGCAGGCGTCGACGGCACCAGACATGGCAGTTCGCTATCTATACCTGGTTCCTGCCATGCTCTCCCACCGGAAGAGACTGGAAAAAAAATGGTTTGTTCTTTGCGACGACGACACCTTTTTCCCCTCTATGCATGCTCTCGCGCAAAAGATGGCCGAGTTTGACCACACCGCCGAAATGTACATCGGCGCCCTCTCAGAGGAGGTATATGCCGTCCTACGCCACGGACCACAAGCATTCGGCGGCGCGGGCGTCTTCCTATCCTACACCACCGCCCAGCGGGTCGCGGGATTATTTGACGAATGCTCATCAGCCGAGAAGCTGCACGAAGCAGAGGAGCAGGGCGACCGGCTACTGCTTCAGTGTATAAGCCGAAACCCCGACGTGGTGCTCACCGCATTGGACAATCTCTGGCAACTCGACATGTCCGGCGATCCTGCGGGTTTCTACGAATCGGGGAGACAACCGCTCTCCCTCCATCACTACCGGAGCTGGCACCACGCCGTCCCCGGGCACATGGCCACGGTTGCCTACGCGTGCGGCGAGGACTGCATCCTGCAGCGGTTCCAAACAACAGACGACTACATTATTTCCGGGTACTCGATCGCGTCGTATCCCCACGGCATCAAGTTTGCCGCGCACCAGATTGAGTCTACGTTTCGCACCGTGTATACAAACGAGGGGGGCAGCTTTGATTACAAGTTTGGTCCGCAGCGGCCATCGCTACTGGGAACGGGGCGCAAGGACGCTTGGGAGTTGAGAGAGTCGGCGCGTCAGGAAGACGGGTCCATCTTGCAGACTTATGTGCGAAAAGGCGATGACCCCCGGTGGGTCGACAAGAACAATGTCCCTCTGGATAAAGATGACGGAGTTATCGAGTTGCTTTGGACGTCGGCTATATTTTCGCGCTAGCTCGAGGTATGCGTGATGCTATATTATATGGAAAGGGTGTTGAGTGAAGTGAGAAACTCCTCTTTTACTAGCTTGAAATTTGAGATGTAGGTATAGATTACAATGCTCATTTCAGCAGTAGCGGCAAAATCACGCAGGATGAGCTGCCCGGCGGGAATAGTGAGCTGGCAAAGGAGCCACCTTGCCACGTCTGAGAAGCGATGGGCGGCAAAGTCTCCTACAGTGATATCAGGGTGACTGCCGCAATGGTACAATATGGTATGAAGCTGGTATCGGGCTGCAAATACTGCACACACCACTTGGTCTGGCAAGTGCAAAGCCCCCGATGGCCTCCAACGTCGTCGTACAAGTGTTTTTATTTGCACAAGCAGAGCAAACAAGCAAACGATGCTCTGACAATGGCAGCGTTACTGGGTTTGGAACGGTTTGGTTCAAAATTCAATTCAATGAGCGACTTTCAGGCATCGAAGTTCGTTGGTTTCCCAAGAGGTCTTTGGGGATCAGAGGTCTCTGTAAATACAAAATGTCCGTGAGGACTGGGACAACCCTCGTCAAGGTCCAACTCCGGGTCCTCGTGATAATTTCTTTGTTGTGTAATCTTTGTGGCTGGTGCCTTTGTTTTGGTCTTGGACGTGTGACAAACGTCGTCGTATAAGTGTTTTCATTTGCGCAAGTAGGACTTACAAGCAAAGAATACCTTGAAATTTGATCCCCACGGCTCTCCGACCCCCGCTGTATTCACTCTTGCTGTCGGAGAAAACACGATTTGTATTGACAGTTCGTGAATCTCGCCTTGGCTGTGCTCCAGTCTCGGCAGTACTTGCAGATTGAAGTTTTGTTTCGCGTGAAGGAGACTAGAGACACCATGTTATAAATGGACAGGCTATATCTGTCAGATAATGCTCTCTGTTGGGCAACTCAGTCGAAAAGAAGCCGAAATTTATATTGAACTTGTATACACGACATGTTACGGTCCAGCTTACAGGCCACGGCGCAGGTCCCAGAATAGGCTGGCTGCATGGGTTACCCTATAGGGGATAAGGGGAACTGACCGGGGCGCACACAAGAAGTGATTGCAGGAATCGCCTGGCAATTGGAGGGATTCCGTGTGAGTCGACATCATTGATGTTCTAACCCCAACTCAGCAAACGAAAAACGAGTATAGGGTCAATACGATGCGCTTTAAGACGTGTCGTGATATTATATAAATAAAAGACGAGATTTCATCTATTTACTACAAGTATACTACGAGAAAAACACTTGTTTCTATTGCAGAATTGTAAAGAAAAGTACACGGTCAGGCCAAGGACACAAACAAAGGTTACACGAGAACATCAATTGAAGAGTCACGAGACCACGATGGAGGTTTTAGGCAACCGTGGCCTGACGACTTCCCCACTGCTGCTCGTATAGACAACATTGAAGGCCCAGCTGGCTCTTCTTGACCCAAGGGCCTTGAAAAATGGCATCTTTGCTATCAAAAAGGGTTATCAGATCAAATTGAACACTTTCTCCCAGACCCATGTCTCCAACAACAGCAATTCAAAGGGCTCCCTGATTCTTGTCACGGGAGCCAATGGGTACATTGCTTCTAATATTGTCGATCTCTTATTAGAGCTAGGCTACCGAGTCCGCGGGACCGTTCGCGAGCACAAGCCGTGGCTGACTGAACTCTTTGAGAAAAGACATGGCAAGGGCTGCTTCGAGACGGTTGTCACAGCTAACATGGAGGAGCCAGGAGCATTTGACGACGCGATGCAAGACACTGCCGGGGTCATCCACGTCGTAGGTTCACGCTGCAAAGGCCGCTTGGGAGGCACGAAAACTTACAACGCGACTGGCACAAGCTTCCATTGTCTTTATGAATCCGGACCCTAGCGCTGTTATTCCAAATGTAGTGAGGGGGACGGAAAGCATACTCACAAGTGCATCGAAGCACGCAGCGATAAAAAGATTCGTCTTGACTTCGTCTTCAACCGCGGCTCTCATCCCGAAACCCAACGAGAAATGTACCGTTACAGAGGGTATGTATTTCGCTGTTGCCATCGCGTCACAAGAGCCCGTTGATCCCAACCTACAGTTAGATACGTGGAACGATGACGCGGTCAAGGCTGCGTGGAGCGAGAGCACGCCGGCCGCGCACAAGCCCTACGTGGTCTACGCCGCGTCAAAGACGGAGGGTGAGCGAGCTGCGTGGAACTGGATGAGAGAAAATAAGCCGCATTTCGTCATGAACGCGGTTTTGCCCAACGTCAACGTAAGACTGTTTCCCCTTGCAACCAATTACGACGGTCGCTAAGTCTTTACCGCCCGCTGCACAGTATGGGCGTGTTCTTTCGCCCCAAATGACAGCGTCGACGATGGGCCTCGCACGGAGGCTCCTGCAAGGGGACAAGACGGCTTTGCATCTCTTGCCACCGCGTAAGGACAACCGTCTCCTCCCACAGGTAAAGTGCTAACGTGGGAATAAACAGAATGGTACGTGGACGTGCAGGATACGGCCCGTCTTCACGTCATTGGGCTTCTCGATCCAGCGGTGAGAGACGAGCGCTTATTTGCGTTTGCGGGCCCTTATAACTGGACAGACGTTATTCAAGTATTCCGTAGACTTCGTCCACAGAGCAAACTCCCCCCGGCCCCGGAAAATGAGGGCCGCGACTTGAGTGATGTGAAGCCCGCCAAGAGGGCTGAGCAACTACTCATGGATTTTTTTGGGTTGCCAGGCTGGACAAGTCTGGAAGATAGTCTCGCCGACGGTATTGACGGCGTTGGTGAGTCGGATGCTCCGGGTCCGTGAGTCGGCCGGACCGGTCTTGCAATAGCCGTGTGGCAGACTTGGGATTTAATGTCAGAAATACAATGGCACTACCGTATCACGAACATGATGGCATATTTCTAAAAGAAATAAAAAAGAAATAGAATAAGTGGCCACATGCAGTTTGGTTCTTGCCTCATGAGCGATGTAGCCCACTTTACTAGCCCGATGGGGTCGGGGACTCCACAACCCACACCCCTTGGTGTGTTCTACACACAAAAAAATGGAAATATGTTATTTTCCTCCACGCGCCCAGTAACCTTCAATTCCGACCTTTAATTTATAAATAAATATCACGATTTCCACTCAATTACACAAAACTTACATGTAAGGGTGTGGCAGCCTGGATGTGTGTGTATCAAAGGCGGTCGCGATGTGGGCTACAGCGCTCATGCATACAGCTCCATGTCCCAACATTGAATAGATTAACATCTCATGACCGCTTGCAATGCATCAACCCCAACGCCACCATCGGGATATCTCTTCTTTTTTGCCAGCACGGCCCCTTTTGCATCACCCCAGGTAAACCCCAGGGCATTGACAATAACCCCACTTCCCCGTGCCAGGTCCACTAGCTGCCATGTGCCCATGCGCGTGCATTGTCGATATCTCTGGAACGCAGTGCCTATTTCGGAATGGCTTCTGCTTGGCCGACGTCGACTCAGTTCTCAACTGCCTGCTGCCTCAACTTGAAGGGGAAGCCTCCAGATGGTCTAGTCAAGACGAATTAACCGCAGCTTCCGAGCGACACAAGCCCACATGCCTTTAGCCCTTGTCACAGTATTGCACCTTTGAACTTGGAGTTGGCGAGCAACAAACGACATGTGGAAAGGCTTGGAGCAACATGACTCATTTCATCTAATAACAGTCTTTGGTATCAAAGGTCGTTGGTTTTTCTCGAGGCCTAGTTGACCAAAGGCGTCTTTAAATACAACAAGTCAGTGACGGACTTTGCCCTAGTCTCGTGGCCGTAGCCCTAGTGTAATCGGCCATTTCCGTGTGAAAAATACTCTAAGCATTTAAAGGAAGGCTGGTTCTTTTTTTTTCTTCATTCGTATTTTCCACCTTGAACCTATCGGTTGTGGCTTCTTTCTCCAACGCCGGTTATGTTTTTCAAGTCATCACCTGGCAAATAATAATGGGCATGTCTCTTCGAGTTTTTCTTACAGCCGTCTTGGCTACCATGGCAAAAGCAATACCAACACCGCTCAGCCCACGGTCTGGTCCCATGGTGCCAAGTAAAGACTCCTTCTATGCTGTTCCTGACAATGTTGGCCAGGTAGAACCTGGTACAATATTAAAACGGCGGAAGCCTCTCTCCCCAATAGCCGCTTTCGGCATTGCGCGGCTCAACCTGAATTCCAGTTACCAGATTCTGTATAGAACTACAGACAGCTTCGGCAACGCAACAGCAACCGTGCTCACTGTGCTGATACCGCACAAGGCAGACCGTTCAAAGCTCCTGTCCTACCAGGTCGCAGAAGACGCAGCATCTATTGACTGTGCCCCGTCTTATGCCCTTCAGCTCCACTCAGCATCCGGGCCACTTCTTGGAACACTCCTCACGCAAGGGGAGCTGCTTCTCGTCCAAGGAGCTCTCGGAGAAGGCTGGGTGGTTGTTATCCCCGACTTCCAAGGCCCAAATTCCGCATTCTTGGCCAATAGGCGCGCTGGCTATGCTACGCTGGATGGAATCCGAGCCGCTCTCAACTCGTCTCCGTTTACCGGCATCCGCGGCAACTCTACCATTGCCATGTGGGGATATTCCGGCGGCAGTCTGGCGACCAACCATGCCGCTGAGCTTCAACCAGAATATGCCCCTGAGCTTCAGATTGCCGGCGCTGCCGTAGGCGGTACAGTCCCCAACATTACCAAGGCGCTCACTACCATCAACAAGGGACTGTTCGCAGGGTTGATCCCCACTGGCATTCTAGGTTTGTCCGCAGAGTATCCTGACGTGGCGCAGCTGGTCCTGGATCATCTGAAGCCGGAAAAAACCGAGGCATTCTTCAAGGCTGGGACCCGGTGCCTTTTGGCCAACGCTGCCGCGTACCTCCTTAAAGACATTATCGGCATGTTTGATGACCGAAATTTTATGTATCAAAACAAGATTGTCGTTCAAGTTCTCAATGAGAATGCTCTGGGTAAAAAGACACCAAAGATTCCGTTATACTGGTACAAATCTGTTTTCGATCAAGTCAGCCGGGTCGCTGATTCCGATGCCGTTGTGAAGAAGTACTGCGATGGAGGTGCTAGTGTCGAATATGTACGGGATATTGCGTCCGAGCATGCAAGTTATGCCCTGATAGGCGCACCGAAAGCAATCTATTGGTTGAAGAAAATTATGAAGGGCAAAAAGCCCAAGTCAGGCTGTTCAAGGAAAACGCTTCTGTCCTCCTTGCTTGACATTAAAACGTGGGGTATTGCTATCAAACTTGGCGTTAACGCATTGTTGAATTTATTCCACAAGCCGGTTGGCCCGCCTGTATTTGGCTAGAGATGCAGAATAGCGAATAAGAAGTATTGCAAGTAAGTAGTATTGTTCTGCATTCAAAAACACAAGTCCGAGGAGAAGCTCATGTCCAAGATTGGGCGTCAATAGGGACAGACATTTCCAAATCTATCGTATGGAATGGGAAAAGGCCTGGGTGCTACTCTTCAACGCATGCCTCCATCGGGGTCAGGGCGCCGAGCACTTTAACGAGGCCATCGCCGCAATCCCCTGAAAACAGAGCAAAGACAACGATACACAGCCGAAGGCGTACAAAGCCATTGTTGTGCTCAGAGGAAAGTTCTAGAAACTATAATGGGGAGACGGCTTGCCTATGTGGCTACTGTCTACCGACCACTCCCCAGTCGACATACTGGGGATCCAAAACTCTCATTGACAAACCGTATCATGCACTTTCCTTAACACATTTTCCAGAAGCACGATCTGAGGGTAAGGCATCTTCCTTGTTAATGGATGTATTTGTGGCCTGCGACAATGTGTCTCGTCAATAATTCCTGTTGAAGCTTCGCAAGCATCAGTTGAGAAATGAGATGATACGATGGGCAACGTTTTTTCTCAGGAGCCACGGCTATAAAGTAGCAATAACAAATTGCACCCTCAAGACCAATCAAAGTGCAAATTGCACAAGACTCAATCGTCCTTCTCGATGATCCTGTATGTGTTCTATTACGCAGACCTGATCAAGGCCTGTAAGACGATTGAGACAGAAGTAGTAGGGTATGTTGTCAATGGCCAATGTACATGTCACATTAGTGGGTATAAAAGGAAAGGGTTTGCTGAGCACCTCAATTCATATTCTGTAATTACTACGAACTTGAGAAAGGGTCATCGTTAACACCTGGCGTATAAGCCGGAACAGACGCCTGAGAAGTTCTGCTAGTGCCGGCGCCTCATCAAGATGTCTGCATCTACAACTCACGGTGGCCGTAGCTGCCAGACGGTTCTTCAATTTAACAAGAGTCGGAACGAAGGTAACGCATTAATATATTGGACAATGCCCTATCAACCTAACTTGGGAGTTTAACATTTTGGTGACGGCCCCAGAGCCGATGTTCTTTTCGCAGAGTCTTGGCTGATCGCCAGGGTTTCCAGGAGAACACTGTCTGGAGAAGCCCAAAGTAACAGCACACACCAGACTAATGCCCTATTAGTTCCGAGACTCTTCCGCCATTCCAACCAAGTTGATCTTACTCTGGATTGTTGCTGCCGTCTGCACAATGGCTTTAGCAGCCACGACCAGTATTCCAAGAGTGGTCGCCACATCCTCCGAAATTTCCAGTCTTCTGGCATGTCACTTGCCCTGCATTGGAACCGCAAGAAAACCCCTTTTGACGAAGGGCGCCCCCGAAATCCGCAGCATTCTGCTGAGCTGATCGCACCTGATCAGCGTGGCAGTCGTAGGTGCATTGGTTGCCACCACTCTGCGCTTGGTTGACGAAACAACGTTGCTCGCACGCATTGGCCGCCGCCAAGAGGGTCAATACGACGGCAAAGACAGCTTTAACCATTGTGACTAAGGGAAAATGAATGAGTTATACGATACACTAGATCTCGAGAAGGGCAACCCACGAGTAGTATTGGACGGTGATGGCTGTAAGTGATGAGGGAAATTTAATGTTGACTCGACGAGGAACTGTTATGATGAAACCAATGTTGGAAGGGAAGACCTGGTGTTTTTATAATACTGATGCTTTTCCCATTGCGCTGTACCTACGTCCTTCTTACGTTTCATATGCAGATACTTGCCGAATATGTCCTCGCTTACAATGATTACGTCTCATTACCCCGGTACCTCTTTTATGAATAGTATCTTGCTGAGCTGCGCCGGTCAATCGTTGATCCAATCAGCGGGGACAAGGTGGTGAAATTGTCTTGGTTCAGCTATACCAGTGTGCGTATGAAAATGACGCCAGCGATATAGCCAAATCCGTTCCCTGCTATACTACACGGACTGTATATTACACATAATGTAATATACCATATTGGGAGGTAACCAAGCAGGAAGAGATGGAAGAGATAGATTAGATGTAGAAGTTCATTTCGATATAATTGAGAATGGCGGGCACTGTCGCGGATAAAGTCGGTGCGTGCTTACTCCACACATTGTCTTAATTACATGCAGTTCGTTGTCGACAGGTTCACCCCGCAGTGACACGTCATTGTGATGAGGGATGAGGCTTGTAGAAGTTTCTGTCGTAAATGACTGGGCTGGTAAATCCATGCATATTGAACCCTACAATCGGCGACCAAGGGTACTAACATTCCATTCACTGCCACGGTTCCCAAACGACCCGGCAGACACATTATTCTCCCCGGTGCTCTTTTCTCAAACTGGCAAGGGCGTTGACAGCTGGCCCTCGCCGGCTCTTCCCCCCAGGTGCCGCCTCAAGATATCATAGTGGAGATGTCTGGTGATAGTGCTGAGATAGTACGGAGTACTCCGTACGTAAAAGTGACTCAGAACCAGATGGAGCCATGATTATTCGATGTTCAGTGTATCCACTACACGATGAGCAACATTGAGAGCATCAAATTTGCGTAGAGGTAAAATACAGACGGTAGGCATCATGATTCAACAACTCAAGGCAGTCGAGTTATCGTGGACTATTGCTCCTGGTTCTCTTGTCGCCGTTCTTGAATCGCAAGATGACGGTCGGCTTTACTCCTGTGGCATTGAATCTTTACTAGCCCGCAGCCCGCACCTGCCGCCATTGACAACTGATTGTGAATGTCTCACAATCCTTGAGAGATTTCGGCTCATCTTGTCTTTGGCCCAACCAATGCGACTTTGTAACAGGCGTCTGGCTGAATACGCTCCATGCTCCTTGTGCTCCTTGCGCATTTGACTGGTTGCACGAGAGAGTCAGTACGGAGCACCCCTGAGCAAATATGACAAGGCATATAAAGCATATAATCACACTGTAGGGATCTAATGTAAAAGTCTCAGACCCCATTTACACAAGCAATATGATTATGGGCTGGTCGTAATTATGAGCGAGTCACCCCAACGGTACAAGGACGTGGGGGAATCCGTGTTCGCCTGGACGTAGGGTGATGTTGGCCAAGTCTGTGACAAGCAAAACGTAGCCTCGTGCCTTTACTCCCGTGATGCGCGACGGAGACGACTGCAACTAAAGTGGTGGAGGCGTTATTTACTCAGACATACAGGCATAAGTGGGATGCCAAAGGAGGGGCTTCAGATGGACCGGATAGAATCGACAGTATTGATTAGATAACTTGGATTATCACTCTGTTACTCGTAGGCTAACCGGACCTCCTGCAGCAATCAACGCCGTTGTGAGCACGCTGCGTATTTCGTGCTATTCGTGACGACTCTTGCATGGAGGTTCAACCACAGAGTTCTGTCCGCAATTAACATATACAGGTAGGGAGGCTGCTATGCCTCCTCCTATGCCCCGGTTTGTCGATTGACTTGCGTCAAGTTGAGTTTGTATTTCGGGCCAAGAATACGCTGCATTTACCGACCTCGAGTGACGAATGACATGCCCAAGGTGTCCCTTAAAGTAATAAATGGGAGCATCATTGGATAAATAGCCTACATCGGCGGTGTTAAGCGTGACAGCGGAACGCGGATGAAACGAGTGTGTTGATCCTGTGGTGTAGAGATGTCGCCAATGTACATATGTAGGCTATTCGGAGCAAATAGCGATGCGTCAAACCTTCCCGCGCGGCTCGGGCTGCCCGGCACCAGAATGTTTAGTAATTGATGCTGTCGGCGTTGTGACTCGTGGCCAATCATTGACAACATATAAAGAGGGGGAAAACCACTCGTAAAGTCAAGTTGAAAAAAAAGTGCCATCACCAGATCTTACGTTTCGACGACGCAATAAACAACAGCCGCTCAGTACAGACGCAACCATTTTCCATCATGTTCCAGTTATTCAACTCTCTCCCGCGCGGAATCATGGCTTGCAATAACGTTGTTTTCGCTTCTCTCGCCTATGTTGCCGATTGGAACGAGACGCACATTTACAACCCGCGCTGGCCGCCGCATGCCAAATTTCACAACGGCCAGAGCATGTCATTTGGTGTTTTATCTGCCTTAACAACCCTCTACCTTCTGGGTAGACGCAGCCCCAACCCTACGGCCGCGAAAGATTCTGTATTTATTGCGGCGATTGTTGGTTCTCTTACCACTGTGGCCGGTCTGTCCGCCGCTTTGTACCCAGGCACTGCGTGGGCTGACCCGGAACGGGATACTGGAGCAAGGATAGGCCCACAGGGTTATCTTTTTATGGCCCAAATACTTGTCAACTGGATAGCCTACTTCTTGGAGAAGACAAAGATTGACAAGGGTTCCAAATTGCAGTAATTCCCTGGCTTGTTGGATATTGGATACGTGATGGGGGCAGGGTTGGCCTATGTCGTGGGAAACTTGGTGATATTCCTTGGGCAGGTGCTGATAGGAGGACGGCAGCTTTACGATCGTGGAAACAACAAGTCTGACATTGTGGGATAAAGCTGTTGACTTGGGTAGTCTTGTGGTGTGGAAAACCTCTGTCCAGAGGTCTTGTATCCAATGAAACATAACCAAACCCTGCTTATTGATTATTAGAATGTTTATTTATTGTTGGTTTCTGATATTCAACGTCTCCAATCATCAAGCGTGAAGCGTTTTCCAGCCCTCTAGACCTGATTCGGATTGCAGGAACATAGATGCAATGTTGCACTCGGACAGTGCTTGTATTAATATGGCGACTGGAGCTTCACGAAGCGAAACTTTGGCTATTCTCCATGCAGTTTATGACAGTTTCTTTATCGTGTCGTTAGTAGTCTCTGTGGCTGTTGGGGGTGACAGATGCAGAGACGCCGAATCGAGGATTGCGCCTTGTACTGCGCATCGAGGAATGTATGGGCGCGGACATAAACGGCGCCAGCACTCTTCCCGGCCAACGTGATTCTGCCCTGCGCTTCCTGTCAGCATGCTTCGAGGTGTTTTTCCAAGCAAGCAGGCACACAAGGCGTCACTGGCTGGATCTCCATCAAACTCGTCAATGTTTCGAACCGCCAATTCGATTGCAAGTCTTTGGTCCCGCAAGGCGAGGTCTTTCAACTCTGATATCCGAACGCGAACAAGTTGAATAGATGGTTGACAGTGACAAGCATGATTGGGTTCCCCGAGGTCATGGATTGTGCAACGATACGTGTCGGGTCTGCCTCGGGGTTAGTCGCATCGTAGTTGCCAGAAATCTGACAGTACAAGGGACAAGCTATGTCAAGCGCCACCTAGAATAAGGCGATTGTTCCCAAAAAAAGGTAAGAGAGTCCGAACATTGAAGGGACTCAGACTATCTAGGCCCTACAGTGGGAGCGTTTCCCCACCAAACGACGAGTGATTCGTGACGTACCGCAGACTCGCGACGATGCCGGGGCGAACATCATGACTCGGGAGCCTCCTGATGGATATTATGTACACTGGACGACGGCGCCGGGGGGCATACCGTGAACACACATCAGAACCGGAAGGCGTTTTCCACATGCGGAAGCATGATTCGGGCAGTGCGCACTAAGTTTGAGACAAGAAAACTCGTCGTACGACAGATCAGCATCGCCGAGTCCTTCTGGAAGCCGCAGAAGATAGTCCACGTGGAGAATGATTGTGGACACAACGAACTGGCTCTTGGTGAGAAGCTGTAGGCCAAAACGCAGCAAAGAGAATCAGGCAAAATTTGTCCAAAACGCGTGGCATCGGCCGCTTGTCCGCCAAATTCTGTGACAGGATGCGGTGTTGCAAAACGACGGCTAATGGAACTATATTAAATACCTCTGAATTAACTGATTCACCATGACGACTGTCTTTAATCCCATGGAATTTCGCATTCAATTTCGAGTAAAGTAGCCCAAACAAGACAACAACACACGGCAGTATTGCTCAAAGATGGAATTTCCTCCGTACCAATGCTACCGTATTTCTGACAAACTACTTGCATGGTGCTAATACCTAGCTTTCTCCAACAGTAGCCAGGAATCTTATATGGTAAAGGTCCATCTCGCCAGCAATATTCAATCTTTTTGATGCCTTCGTCCACCATCGTCTCAAGCTGGCAAGTGCAACCTACCTACAGTTTGCCTTTACCCCAATTCTCGCCCTGTTCAGAACTTGTTCAGCATCAAATGGTCCGGGGGAGCAGATTGCAAGCGCCTACTTACCATACCCAAAACTTGCTGGCCGCGATTCAACGCCCTTGCCGGCTCTTCCCCGAGCCACTGCGGCTCCAAATCATCGATGCCCTTCTCGATGTCATATCCCCTCCCGCCTCCGACGAAAACAGCCCTGCCATTGTGTTGCTCGCCCGTTGCCAGCTCGCAGATGATTCGCGCCACATCCGCGGGCTGATTCATGGGCAACCCCGCCGCCTCCCACGCCCTCTTCACATGGCCCAGCATTTGGGTGTCGGTCGCCCAGGGACAAACCACGTTGATGCGGACATTGAATCTGGCAGGCGTGTACAAGCGCAGGCCGCGCATAATGCCCAGCACGCCATGCTTGGAGGCCGAATAGGCAAAGAGCCCCGGCGACTCCTTGAAGCCGGCAACCGACGACAGCAGAATGATGGACCGGGAGCCTCCGCGTCCCTCTGCTGGTCCCTGCGGCCGCAGGTATGCCAGTGCGATCCGGGTAAAGTACAACGAGCCCTTCAGGTTGATGTCGAGAATATCCGCCAGAGGCGTTGGAACCTGCGGCACAGGGTTAATACCGTTGGCAAAAAAACAACAACGCTGCTCGCCTCAAGGCATCCGCTGTCAGGCAAAGCACATTGGGGGTGGTAAGCCCGTTTCCAGGCCGGACAAGACTTACGGTTCTGACGCTCTCCAAGTCGAGGCTCTCTGGCTCAAACCAACCCGCCTGTTCGCCCACGGCGGCACAGCAGATGGCGATATCCACGCGTCCATGGGTTTTGATGGCTGCGTCAAAGAGATCAAGCTGCGACTCGTACTTGCTAATGTCGACTTTCACAAACTGAATGCTGCCGGTGCCGTCTCCCGCATTTGCAATGAGGGCATTGTTGTATGAGCGAGCTGCGTCTTCGTTCCAGTCGCCGCACACAACGTGGCCGCCTGCTCGGTATAATGTAGAAACTGTTGCGGCCCCAATGCCCTGGGCACCGCCTGTGCATGCGTTTAGTGTCCTGTTGTATCGCTATTCATTGACGCATCGTGACTTACCTGCGAGTACGACCACCTTGTCTCGAACCGAAGACAGATTCAGCGAATTTAATGTTATCTCAGTCATGTTTCTATGTTTGCAAATAGGAAAAATGAAAAGAAGTTCATGAAAAGAAGTCCATTCGAGTTCCGATGGTTGGTTCGAGGCCTCTCCGTATCGTTATATGAATACTGCATCAACCTTGTAGGCCAAGCATGCTGCGCGGTCTTGCCTACATGGGGGATTATCAATCAGATGAGCACCTGGCTCCACCCCTCCCTCTTTCTTTGTGTTATCAATCAATTGATCCCGATGGCCCGATGGTTCAGTTGGGGGAATTTCCCGACCGTTTTCTGGGGGTTTGGGGGGAGTAGCCGAATTCCCGGGGGCGCCCTGAAGAATTGCGGCGCCGTCGGAGGGTCTGGGGTCCTTTCGGCCGAAGTCCGAGCACTTGAGCCCTCGCCCCGTTGAAACATTGATGGTTCAGTATCGATGTCCTCACACGCAACAACGGCATAAAAGGCACAGACGAAATGGTAAGCTAATATCAGGTAGGCATTGGCCACGTGGAGCTGCTAGAGAAGAGCACCCAAGAGCCAGCTTTGAGCAAATCTCTTTGGATTGGTATTTACCAAGTGGCCGGTCCTTAATGTCTATTGCTAATATCCCCCCGGCTATTGACAGTAGCCAACTTGTTGTTCCTTTGAAGCCGCCGAGCTTACCGTCCTCAATATAAAAAATCGCTGCAAACCCTCAAGAATGTCGGGGCTCCATCATATACACAGCATCTAATGCTGGCATCTATGCGTTTCTAGTCGGGCCAATATGCCGCAAGCAAGTGTAGAGTCGTAGGCTTAAACCACGGGGCTACAATGCGCAGTGCTACGAAAAGTCATGCTACAAGAGGAGCTTGAGAGACTGCAGCGAGTCTTCACACTGGACCTCGATCCTCTTGACCAAATCGAGAGCCTCATTCTTCTCAATCAACAAATGCGCCACGAGCCAAAAGTTGTATGCATTCCTGTGCATGCCAGAAGCCCGCCACACGTCCTGCCGAGTATTAGCCCGGACCGCCAACCACGACGAGCGCCAGCGCTTGAGCGCGTGTCGCGCCGCCGCCGTGATTTGATCAACGCCCTCGGCCCACGCGGGCTGCTCAGACGCCGGGTTCTGCCGCCGCTGGCCCATGGCGGCGCCTAGAGGACGACGCAGGAGCATGTTTGTACGTATAAAGACGTAGAGCACTGTTGGCCCCCTTGTCAGCGACACGTGCCAGGTCAGCCGAGGAAGAACGAGCGAGCTTACAGTGAATCGTCAGGAACAAATCCACAACGGTGCGGGAGCCATAGTTGACACAAGACTCCACGTCGCACTGTCGCTGGGCGGGCGGGGGGTTCGACTGCTCCCGGAACAGCTCTTCAAAGGCTTCGGCGGTCGTTGAGCCGCGGCGGAAGCGGAAGTTTTCTTCGGCAAAGGGGTGCTTTGCATTGAAGACGGCGTTTTCGCACGGGAGGTCGTGCTCTAGCTCGGAGAATGCGAGCTTGCACGGATAATTCGAGAAGAAGAGAAATGCGCAGTCTAGCAGCCGTATCATGATGATTGTGCTTTGCAACAAGTCAGGGCTAGCTTAAAAAGGGGGGGTACAAAAAAGAGACTCACCGTACTTGCGTCTCTTTGCGAATCCACAACTCTTCAGAGATTCGATCCTGCGGGAGGTGTTGAACCTGCGTCAATCCTGATTTCCGCGCAGCCTGTGCACGTCAGCTTCCGACCCTCTAGTGGCAAGGTTGTGCGGTCAATCCAACCTTGACAAGCTCGCAGAAGCGAGTTTCCATGGCGCGGCTTTTGTCCTGCCGCGTGCCGGCCCAGTATTGCACCGTCGTGATCAGGTAGCCTGCCTGGATCTGCTGGAACTGATGCCAATCCAACTCGCTGTGGGTCGACTCATCCGAGGCGTGCTTGATTTCATGGGCCGCGGCAAACACCTCTGCCGAGAAGATGACCAGCTCGGCAATGTTGAGAAGCTTGCGCGCCGCTAGACGCTCGGCCTTGTCTTGAGAATACATGGCGCCAAGGGCAATGACGGAAATGAGCAGCTCCGTTGGCACAAGCTCCGTATCAAAGGAGGGGGGGTGCAAGACTGGGCCGTTGGGGTGCCAGTTGAGGAAAAACAAGCCGACAAAGGCATCTATCTTTGGCTGGCAGCACAGAAACCCGATGATGGCGGTCATCTCGTCCAAGGAACTGGGGTGGAGATGAAGTTGTTGGGCAGTGTGCAACAGGACGTCTCGCAACGCGGTTATTTGAGGCGTCTCGGCCTTGCTCTCCTGACCCAGGGCAGGTTGTTGAAACATGTTGGGGACATTTTCACGGACGAGCCAGACCAAGTCCCCTTCGTCGACGTCGTTCATCCATGGCTGCGTGGTGCCAAAAGGTCCGGTCCAAAAGTCTGATACTGAATTCAGCAGTAATTCAAAACCCTCGGACGGCCCAAGGCTGAGGTGAAGCTGGCTTCCAACATCGGCAAGACCCTCGTAGTCCAACGATGGATTCGAGCGAGGCGCTTGCGGGGGGGCACCAACATCTCCCGTCTCGTCATGAAAAAAGGGGAGGTTGAACTGTTCTGTGAAACTTTGGGTGCCGTTGTCAAGAAGGGCCTTGATGGATCTTGCATCGCTCGCAGAATCGGCCGTCTGGCTGTCGTCCGCAGCGCCTTCTTCGTCTAGCTGGTATCAGCAACATTCGCGAGACAGACATTGATGGATGCGGGACTTGCGCACCCGTGGTACTTGCCGGCCGTTGCGGTCGAGCGATTCGGGAGGTGTCGCAGGCCAGATTCCTCCTCCGACAGCCATTACAGGGCGTGCCACCTTCGCATCGCAGCTTCGACGCTGTGCACTGGGCTCCGTGTCAACAGGGGAACGAATCATGACCACACCGGCTGCTGTGAACTGACCGCTGCGCAAGCTCGCCGACGCCTGCCTCTCTGGCCGCCTTTGGGGATCTCGCGGTCGCCCCTCGTTCCGCAGTTATCGTAGTGATCCCGCAGACGATCACTCCTTACGAACCTTTGGCCACAGTAGAGGCATGAATACGGCCTCGCACCGGTATCTACGCGCGCGGGTCAGTGAGAGATGCCGAGAGAAGGCACCATGCCATGATTGATGAGTAACGACGGACGCGGCACGTACGACTCAGGGCGTGTCTCCGCAGGTGATCAGGACGGGAAAACTCCCGGGCACAAGTTGAGCATTGGTACGACTTCTTGACAGCAAGCAAGACGTCATCACCACCAGCCTCGCCGGGGGAGACTGGCGAGCTGCAGTTTTTGGAACCAGTCTGCATGGTCATTTTGCAATGATCTTGCGCTGGAAGGAATGCTGGAGCTCGCCAAAAGAGAAGAGTCTGGCAGTTTTTCGACATGGACGTCGTCGGTTCGGATACGGATTTGATTCCGACGTCGCACGTAGGCAAGCCCCTGGTCCAATGCGTTAATGCCCCACCTTTATGTCTCATCGCTCTCTTTCTAGTCTCAAGTAGGCTTAGCGGCTTGGTCTTCACCCCAGTTTCTCCAGGTACCCCGCATGCGCAAATGCCGTCCATGCGCCTGATTCCTATTCGATTCAACATTGAAGAAATTGCATGTATTTGCCTGCTTAAGCTTACCTAGGTACGTAGTCTACAGTCTAGAAGCCGTCAATGGGGTCAGATGAGCCCACGCAATGCACACCAAGCCAAAAATGCCACGCTGCGTCTTCTACAATACGCTCTTTTCCAACGGGGTCGCATCCGATGTCGGTGTCGGTGCCGGCGAGGGCAAAGGCACCGTGGGGAAATCTATCTGATCATCATCGAGATAATCCACGTTGACGGCCCTGTCCTTTTCCTGCTCTGTCCATCCATCGCCAATCCAGCTGCTCACACTGCCCTTGCCGTACCGGTATTCGAAATCTTCCCAGCGCGGATGAGCAAACACTTGCATGGCGTGTAGAGACGAACCTGGCTTTCATGTCAGTACTGTTCATCAGATTGGTTGGGCGTACAGAAGCTCACCAGGCCAAAGTGCGCTGATCCTCCCGTCATATGTGCCGCCCTTGTACCAGCTGCGGCAGTGCAGCGTGAAGACTGTCTTGTCGAAATACGCATCGCAGTACTTGGTGAAGCGTTGGACGGCCTGTTTTTGAGGAGCCATGGCGACAATGTTGTCTCGCTGCATCTTGGCCACGCACATGGTCATGTAGTCCATGGCCTTTTCGATAAGCAGGAGCAGGTTGCCGGACCCCAAGGACCCGTTTGGTCCCAGACTCACAAAGAAGTTGGGGAAGCCGTCTGTCGACATGGAAAGGTACGTCTCCGGAACGGCCTCCCACCTCTCTGCCAGTGACTGGCCTTGACTGCCAATGATGGGGAAGCGAGGCATGAATGAGGTGTCAAAGCCGGTAGCGCACACAATAGCATCGACCGGGTGATGCTTTCCGTCTTGTGTCTGGATGCCCGTTTCATCGACCTGGACTATTCCTTGCGTGATGACGCTGACCTTGTCGTCGGTGAGAGCTTCCAAGTAGCCCGGGCCGGGAGTCAGCCTGCGGCATATGGGCGGGAACGAGGGGATCAGAGTTTCTGCCAACTCCGGCTTCTTCTCGAGCCTTTTTTTCATGGCCTCGGTGAACAATCCCACGGCCCCAAGCTGCTCGGGCGTGTCTCTGATGGTGGATCCGTGGACGGACTGGAGTTCAAGCTCAATATCTGGGCGGCGTGTTAGTGGACAACATGTTTTCTGACCAAATAAGTGGTGGACGGCGCTACTTTTTCGAAACTCTTGATATACGGATTTGTCCGCCTTGAACGCGGCCTTTTCCTCATCGGTAAACGTAACTGTTTCTGTCTCAGCTTCCTCTTCCAACGGTTACTTCTCGGCCAAAGTAGGGCTTACAGTTGTCAATACCGCCTCTACGCTCATCTATCATTGCTCGAGCAAAAGTTGGCGACAGCCAGGTTTTCCCTCGGATGTAATGGTCAATGTGCGAGACTTTCGGCAGCATCGCCGGCAGGATTTGTATTCCGCTCGATCCATTGCCAATCACGGC